CCTGGCCCTTTCAGTTTCTGACAGGAAGCTGCCTCTGCAGGCCTGAGATGGATCTGCTGAGCTGTCTGCTCTGGTGCAGCCCCCGTGGGACGCCCCGGGGATGACCCCCTGGCCTCAGACCTGCGATGGAGAAGCCCCTGGAATGAGAGAGCAGGCGGGCAGGATCTGCTTGTGTTTTCTGCCCCGACACCGTGGTCCCAGCCCTGTCTGGCTGCGGTGGCCGACCAGCGTCGGGGAGCTCTGCTCACTGTCTTTCGGGGAAGGGGGCGGGGCACCCAGGCAGCCAAGCAGCAGAGGCCCCAGAAAAATGCTGAAAGAGGCCTCCAGTTCTCACAGCCCCAACTGGCGTTTGCTGTTGCGAGGGGTGGGTGGGGAGGGCAGGGTCGTGCAGGAGACCAGGCCGGACCGCTATGTGTGAGTGCAAAGCCTGCAGCCTCTCAGCTGTGGGGTCAGGCATGGGCCTGTGCCTGAGTGATTGGAAACGCAGACTCCTGGCCACCGAGGAGGGACCAGAGGGAGGAGCTCAGAGCTGCCTGGGGCATGGCGATGCCATCCCAGAGCCCCTGGTGGGGACACACATGTGGCTGGTGCTGTGCAGGGCACAGGGCAGAGGCTGGGGGCCTGGACCCCGCCCGCTCTGCCACCGTGGGGCTGGGGCTTTCCACACACTCAGAATGTGCGGCTGGGAGCAAGGAGGAAGCACCGAGCCTGCAGGCAGGCGGATTCCCAGTTCCTTCTCGGCCCCTGGGCAGCTGCGCAAGGGCTGGCTCAGGGCCAGGGCGACCATCCCTTCCCCACCCCAACACCTTGCTGGGTGCTCTTGGCTGCCCGCAGACGGGACTGGGGACAGGGACAGGTGCACTGACCCAGCGTGTGTCCCCCACATTGAGAGGAGAGACCCAGCGCTGTGCCCCGGGCAGCTGGGCCCCAGGGCACAGGCCACGCCATTTAGCACAAGGGGCTGTGAGGCTGCTCCCTGCCTCCCTCAGGAGGTTGCCCATGTTCACTGTGCCCCCATGGGGCTCCTGCCTCTGCCTCTGAGGGAGGCGGGTCTGGGTCTGCCCAGAGGGACTGGACTCTCTGAGGGTGGAAGCCACAGTTGGTACCCCTGCCCAGGAACACCGAGCAGCACAGAGTGGGCGCCCAGAAAAGCCAAAGGAAAGCAGCATCAGGCACAGCCCAGGTGGAGGCCGCCCCTGGGAGAGGCCCCAAAGCGGCAGCGTCTCTGTGCACAGGGACTGTGCCAGTATGGGCTCATTGTTGGCGTCGGGGGGTGCGAGGACATGCTCGGTCCAGGTGTCAGCTACGGCAGTCAGATGCACGGCAGGGGACTCCTCATCAGCAGCCCAGCTGGGTCAGGCTGCCAGGCTCGGCTTCCCCTGGGAGGCAGAGGCGGGGCTCCCTCCCTTGGGACTCAGTCTCGGGCCTTTCCCTTCTTAAGGTGACGGGCCAGGTGGGACAAGCCTCTCTGATGCATCCTTCTCTGAACAGGGTTGCAAGAAGATGCCACCCTAGGACAGGCTC